ACTAATTACTGCAATATACTTCTTTTATATTTCACCTTTACTCCATTTTATATTTGAAAATTAAAATGTTATAATTACTTCAAAATCAAGCTGTTCTTTGTGTTAAATGAAGAATAAGAACATTAAAATTTTCTCTACAATAAATTACATTTAACGCAGTCATTACTTGATAATATTACATACAAAGTACTGAAAATGGTAAATTTTCAAAGCATTAGACAACTTTAACTTAACCTCACTTATCAAAATTATTTAAAAAAGCTTCAATCTAAAAAACTTAATCAGAAAAAGTGTAAACAAATTTAGGAGTGATTTTTATAGCAACGAGATATCAATCGTTTGATATTAAAATCTAAAAATTTACAAATTATAATTATTAAGATTTTATAAATAACATATAAATTCGTCATGATTTATGAAGTTTTTATTGCAGTAAAAGGATCAGAGATTAGGATCATAGTGACAAAGGTGATAGAATAAAATTAAACGACAAAAATCGTCATTGCCGTCATTAAAATGATCATAATTAACTGTCCCTTCAATTGGTCGTCAGTTTTGTTCATATTTATTACTCACCACGCTTGTCTGACTGAGGGCCATCGCGAGGATGATTCGTATTGTCTAATTACAGAAACAATAGGAATAATCCAACGAATAAATCAGCCCCAGTTCAGAAGCCGATTCGCGGTAGCATCGCTCTTTTATATACTGTGGACACGTCTCCCATTCCACCTGATTCTACCGCAGAGTATTGATAGAGATGTGAAACTCCAATTCGAACCTTTCGTACATCTGCCTACAAGTTGAGAAACCTTGAAACACTATTTAGAAACACTGTTGTTGCCTCCCTGCATACGTATCGTTTACAGTTGCTGTTGCATCATTTGATTCGTTGACATTATCACTTCGATCAACAAATAATTAATCATACTTATATGCAATTAGATACACCAATTAAGAATGTGTATAAAAATGTAATGCTAAGAAAGTAGAAAACGTGCAACGTTAACAAAACAAAATTGATCATGTTTAGAAAAATCCTACTGATTTCACGTCTACAGTAACGGTACCATTTTCTCAGTCGATACAGCAGTTTACACACTTTGTAAATTCGTAATTTTGATCTTTCTACATAAGATCAATTGTCAATTGTCATTTATGCCAGCTTGGAAAAGATTAGTAATGATACGATACTAATATATTCTGACATATGTACTGACTGATGACTAATAGTGCCTTGAATATACAACTTATCAAATTGATTGCAGTTGATTGTAATTCCTTTAACCATATTGATGTCAATGATTGACATGACAGTTTCTCTGAAGATAGAGTGACAAACAACTCAAATATTGAACAAACTATTTTTTTCTAAAAAAGAAACCATTTCATTGTTTAAGACGTTAATTACATTAGTTTTGTCACAACGGGGGCCGAACAATCAGTCATGTCCGTCTCTCAGATGGAAAGTATCCTTTTTTTTAATATTTATCACGATTCATATATGTATTTAACATTTGACATTTACTGAATTATGTTTACATTTGTGTAAACATTTTTGTAGGATAATTTTGCGTTTAAGATCTTAATATATGTAGATTACAAGTGAATTATTTATGATAGTTTGACTATTTCTAAAAGTTCTTCAAACATAAGATTTCATTTTTACAATAGCCAATTTTGTCCACAAATCAATTATTTATAGAAATTGATTACAATTTTTTCCAAATTTTTCATTTAAAAGTTAGGTTACGTTTGTTTTAATTGGACTTGACATTTGAAATACTCATTTGAATGTCTTTGTTGTATGATTATATTTTTATAATATAAGTAATAAAGAAGGTATTAAAATCGTTCCAAAAGATATTCATTTAATCAATCAAAATTCAGTTACAAAAAAAAAATATTTTCTTAAATTATTACATAGAGAACTTATTTAATCTTAAGTTCGCTGTAAAAGAACTGGAAAGAAACTCAAAGAAATGTGACAAAGAAGAAAAAGTAGAAAAAGCTAAAATAAAAAAGGCTATTCAAAAGGGAAATATGGAAGGTGCCCGTATTCATGCAGAAAATGCAATTCGTCAACATAATCAATCATTAAATTATCTCCGTATGAGTGCAAGAGTTGATGCAGTAGCTAGTAGAGTACAAACTGCTTTGACTACGCGTAAAGTTACTCAGTCAATGGCAGGGGTGGTTAAAGCAATGGATGCTGCAATGAAGTCAATGAATTTGGAAAAAATTTCAGGTAATAATAAAACAGTATTCATATAAAGATCTGAAATTACAGTTCATAAAATAATTATTTACTTTTAGGTTTAATGGATAAGTTTGAAAGTCAATTTGAAGATCTAGATGTTCAAAGTTCATACATGGAAAATGCAATGTCCCAAACTACAACCACTAATGTTCCACAAAATGATGTTGAATCATTATTACAACAAGTTGCAGATGAAGCTGGGTAAATATGTTTTCTAGTTCAGTCCTTGGATTTGATAATTAATGAATGAGACTGAATTAAGAAATAACAATCTATAAATGTTTACAGTTTGGAACTGAATATGGAATTGCCATCTGGACAGACAGGTAGTATAGGTACCACTACTGTCAGTCAGGAACAAGATGAACTCACACAGCGATTAGCAAGGCTTCGGGAATAGTAATATATAAATAAAATTATTAATTGCACAGATATATAAATAAAATAAATAATGAAAGCTTGTCCAGTATAATTAGCAATATACTCAGTAAATAAGGCAACCAAATGTTACCTAACATATATTTGGTTACTTTTGAAATTAAATATGTTTCTTTCAATTTGCAAGGACTATTTTCAAACAAAAGCCTCTTGGAACAATTAAAAATATTAAATATTTTATAATATTAATGCTTACACTTACATGATTCAACAAGAATCAAAATATTAAAACCATAACTAAACATGCCTAACTATAGTAATAATAATATGTGTGCACAATATGATAAATATATATATTTAGATAATGTACATATTTGTTTAATTGTCAGCATAAAAGTAATTAATGAAACTAAATGTTTCTTTTTGNTATAGTAATAATAATATGTGTGCGAAATATGATAAATATATATATTTAGATAATGTACATATTTGTTTAATTGTCAGCATAAAAGTAATTAATGAAACTAAATGTTTCTTTTTGTAATTATGCAAATATATAACTGTACTGCGAGATGCGTGCTTATGATAAATATATTAAAATGTTCTGCAAATATTCGTA